AGGTTGTATCATCTGCATATCACAGGTTGTTAATGAGTCTTCCTCCAATCCTGATGCCACGTTTTTCTTCATAGAACCCAGCTTCTCGTATTATTATACTCCAAGTATACCAGCCTATAATTTCAAAGATAAATTCTATAAAACTATAAGGGAACAGATACTTAAAAAAAAAAAAAGTATTATTATGAATTATATGATAGATTACAAAGGAGAACATTAGGTTTACATCCATCCTATTGTATATTGTTTCACTGCCATGATTACAATCCCCTCCATGCATCATCAAACAACCAAAGGGTATATATACCCCGCAAGCCTGCCCTCAGTCGTCAGCACACAGCCCCCTCTCCCTCTCTGGGTCTAGAGTCCCCAACTGCTCCATCTCTCCACATCATTGTCTCTGCCTCCATTTTTGGCATCACTGCTTCTCTGGGTAGGGTCCTGCACTCTGCTCTTCTCCCTTGTTGATCCCAGGGACATCTGCTCCTGGACTGTAAAGTCAACCACTTCCCTTCATTTGCTACAAAACGTCTACCATTACATTTCCAACCCTCACAGTCAGTCCTGATAGCAATTATTCACTATTGTACCACAAGAGTCCTAGACCCATCTTCTTTCATCAGTCCCGTCTGGACAGACTGAATACTACTCAGTGAAGATTCTACCTTCCTCTGTACCCTCTGGATCTAGGCTCCCTCTTGAAAACTTGTAAGCCAGTCACTTCTTGCCTTTGTAGCCTCCCCACCCCATTTTGGGTAGCCAATGTCCAAGGAATAGATACTTCTTATCATATCCAAACTGTTCAAGAACAGAAAAAGTTGAGAAGTGGGAATCTTGGTGCGGTTCTATAAGACAAGCATTAGAAGCTAAATGCAGGTTGGTGGCTCAAAGCCACCAGCTGTTCCTCAGAAAGCCTATACAGGGTCGTTATGAGTCAGAATCAACTCAACAGTACTTAACAACACCTTAATACTTTTTATAACATTGTTGCTGTTAGGTGCCACCCAGTTAGTACCGACTCATAGAGACCCTCTGCACAACAAAAATAAACACTGCCCAGTCCTGCGCCTACCTCATAATCGATGCTATGGTCGAACCCATTGCTGCTGTCATGTGTCAATATATCTCATTGGGGAGCTTCCTTTTTTTTCTCTGACCTTCCACTTTATCAAACATGACATCCATCTCCAGGGACTGGTCCCTCCTGATAATATGTCTATCTGGCTTCCAAGGAGCACTCTGGCTGTACTTTTTCCAACACAGACTGGTTTGTTCTTTAGATAGTCTAAGGTACTGCCTCCAGTGCTGCATCAGTTTGCTGAAAGATTTCAATTTGTATTCCATCAATTCCTGGTACCTTGTTCTTTGCCAATGCCTTTGATGTACCTTGGACTTCTTCCTTCAGTATCACTGGCTCTTGATCATCAGCTACCCCTTAAAATGGTTGAACATCAATCATTTCTTTTTGGTACAGTGACTCTGTATTCCTTCCATCTTCTTATGATGCTTTCTGCATCATTCAATATTTTGCCCACATTGTTGTTGTTGTTAGGTGCTACTGAGTCCATACTGACTCCTAGCGACTCTATGCACAACAGAATGAAACACTGTCCGATCCTGGGCCAACCTCACAATTGTTGCCACGCTTGAGCCCACTGATGCTGCCACTTGGACAATCTATCTTGCTTGGGGTCTTCCTCTTTTTCTCTGACCCACCACCTCACCAAACATGATATCCTTCTCCAGCGACTGGTCCCTCCTGACAATATGTCCAAAGTAGGAGACACGAAGTTTGGCTATCCTGGCCTCCAAGCAGCACTCTGGCTACACTTCTTCCAACACAGATCTGTTGGTTCTTTTGGCAGCCCATGGC